GTAGGGCTCCATGTGGGGCTTGATCTCACAAAACATGAGGTCATGACCTCAGCCAACATTGAGTCGGATGCTCATATGACTAAGTCTCCCAGGCACCTCTCTTTCTAGTGTTTTAAAAAGAACTTTCACATTTTTTAGATTATTTAACACATACACAAGGATTTAAATAGAACTAGCATTCATAGAAGAACGATTCTGAGTAGCACTAATGTAGGCATCATTTCTATAATATACTCCAAAAAATAATTATCTAACCTCTTTAGTTAGATTTGAGTTTGAGTCCAAGATCGGCTGCAGGCTACTCTCACTCTGAATTTTCTTATTTGTAAAATAGATACAATCATGCTTTTTAATAAAAAAAGTAATGTGTATGCCCAACGTGGGCATTGAACTCAACAACCTCGAGATCAAGTGTCACATGCTCTACCAGTTGAGCCAGCCAGGCTCTCCCTAATAATGCCTTTCTTAAGGGATTATAGTTCAAAGTAAATTTGACACTATAGGCAGAGGTTTAGGACCATTTCTATTGGCCTCATGATTATAGTAGTGCTCCCGTATCTGCAGGGCATACTTTCCAAGAACCCCGGTGGATGCCTAAAACTGAACCCTATACATACGTGTTTTTTTCTATACATGCATACCTATGATAAAGTTTAATTTATAGATCAGGCACAGTGAGAGATTAACAACAATAACTAATAGTAAAAGAACAGTTACAACAATACATTGTGCTAAAGGCTATGTGAATGTGGTCTTCCCTCTCTTTCAAAATATCTTGTCCTGTACTCACCCTTCTTCATATAGATAACTACATGATAAAATGCCTACGTGATGAGATGAAGTGAGGTGAATGACACAGGCATTGTGATGTAACGTTAGGCTACTGTTGACCTGACAGTCCTGGACCGTGTTTGAACATGGGTAACTGAAACCATGAAAAGTGTGGATAAGGTGATGGTGGTGAAGGATGGATATTGTACAATCGGGTGGCAGACAATTCAGGAAACAGCCCATAGAATGTACCATTCCTAACTGCTTCCTGTCTCCTGGAGTGTAATAGACAAGGATTAACTTTTCTTTCCATGTATTTAGCAAATATTAATTTAGTACTATGCCAGGTGATGTGTAATACTTGGAAATACGGGGATGTATCGGAGAAACTATCCTGGAGCTTACAGTTTAGCGGAGGAATCAGACATTACACTATTACTTACGGTTGTGAAAAAGACAACATGGAAGAAGTACCGGTTGCTATGCATTGATCTGGCAACAATAGCAGTGCTAATAGAGGTAGCTAACATTTATGTAGTTCTTGCTGTAACAGTCACTGCTCTAAGATCTTTCTATGTTAACTCATGTAATCCTCATTACACCCCTAAGGTAGGTACTGTTACTCCCCACTTTACACTTGAGGAAACTAAGGCATGGGTTGGCCACATTGTAACTGCCACAGCCACGCTGCTAATAAGCGGCCGAGCTAGAATTTAAACCTGGCCTCAGAAGTCACATTCTTTATAGTACTTTATAGTGTGGCTGTATAAGTCACTATAGTACTGGGGACCTAACCCAAGTACTGAGGGCTGTTGGGAGGCTTTTTAAAGAAGAGATACTTGAACTGAAATCTGAGAGTAAAAATTAAGCAAAGTGGAAGTAAGGGAAAGCATGAAAAAGTGCTGGGTAGGGAAGAACATGACTCATTAGAGGAACAGAGGGAGCCAGAGAGCCACAGATGGAGGGAAGAGTGAGGGAAGAGATCCTGTGAGAGGCAGGCAAGGCCGTGGTGAGGGGTCAGGATTGGGCCTGTCCTAGTGGCATAGGAGTTACAAACGTGCTTGAAATGGAGTGGCCTGATGGGTTCTGTGCTTCAGCCCACAGAGGCTGCCAGGAGGACTGCCCTTCAGATGGATGAAGGAGACAGTACCCACCACTCCCTAGGACTTCTTTCCAGTTTAAACCTCCCAGTCCCCTCCCGCTTCCTCTAATGATTTGGTTCCCAGACCTTGGTATACGCCATCATTGGAACTGTACATAGAACTTTGGAATCGTTTGTGGAGTGTATTTAATAGTTATTTCCCCCCAAGGTTCAAGCACTGTCTTCCTGTTGGCTCTGACAATCATAGCCAGCACCCAGGCTCTGACGCCCACTCACTACCTCACCAAGCCAGATGTGGAGAGACTGAAAGCCTCACTGGACCGCCCTTTCACAAGTTTGGAAACTGCTTTCTACTCCATCGTGGGACTCAGCAGCCTTGGTGCCCAGGTGCCAGATGTAAAGGTAAGGCTACTTTTGTCTTGGCCTCATCCCTTGACTGTGTTCCTTTTGTGTACTTCAGAACTAACTCTTGCTCATTTGAGGAAGACCAAGGCAAATCCAATGTAAAAAGTACTTATTTCCGTCTGCCAGATCTTTTTTTTTTTCTTAATGCCTAATGTATGTTTAGGACCATGCCAGGCGTTATAGTAGAATATAAAGAAGAGTGAGTCTTAGAAACTTAACATTTTACTGTAAACTTGACATTTTACCTCTAGAAACTGTTGCTATAGTTCTGAGTGAGACTGTACAATACCACATGGACTTCTTAAGTGCCCTGTACGTGTGACTCATAAATAATAAAGGAATTCAAGATGAGAGCATTCATATTTATTAAACGCTGACACTGTATCAGGCAGTTTTGATTTTTTGTTTTTTTGGACCTTTGATGAGGAACATGCATCATGACCAAAACTTTACCTGGTTTTAGGAACAGTCTTAAGTGAATTTACATTTTATTTATTACAGTAGCATGGATAGCTAGGGTAAAGGGGTTAAGGCCAGGTTTCTCATATAAGCCTTGTGTTATTAGTTTTCTGTGGCTGCATAGCAAATGACTATAAATTTAGTTATTTGAAACAGTATTCATCTATTAGCTGATAATTCTGTAGTGAGAAGTCCAGGCAGGTTTGTATGTGCTCTCTACTTAGTGTCACAGAAGGTCCAAGTAAAGGTGTTGGCCAAGGCTGGGCTCTTATCTGGAGGCTCTGGGGAAGAATGTGCTTCAGTTTTCTTCAGGTGATTGACGGAATGCATGCAGTTCTGTGCAGTCTTAAGTCTAAGATCCCCATTTTCTTGTGGGCTGTCAGCCAAGGGCTGCTCTCTGTTCCTCAAGGCGACCCACATTACTTCTCATGTTGTCCCCTCCCCATTTAAGTCAGTAATGTCATGTTGAGTTCTTACTCTTCAAATCTCTCTGATCTTTTCTGCTACCAGTTGGAGAAAACTTTGCTTTTAAAGACCTTTTTCGTCTAATAACCGTTTCCATCTTCCCCTCCCCCAGTACCTTTTACTTGTAGAACAAGCCAGATCAACTCATCCTGGAGAAGTTTCCACATTCTGCCTTTGGTTGATAGCATCTTCATACTGTTTTTGAACATACCTCCTTATCTCTTGTATTCCTATAAACTGATAGTTAGCTCTTGAGGCTTACTTGTATTCAGGTCAATTTTCTTTTTTTTTTTTTTAATTTTTTTTTAACGTTTATTTATTTTTGAGACAGAGAGAGACAAAGCATGAACGGGGGAGGGTCAGAGAGAGGGAGACACAGAATCTGAAACAGGCTCCAGGCTCTGAGCTGTCAGCACAGAGCCCGACGTGAGGCTCGAACTCACGGACCTCGAGATCATGACCTGAGCCGAAGTCTGCCGCTTAACCGGCTGAGCCACCCAGGCGCCCCTCAGGTCAATTTTCTTGGCAAAAACATTTCATAGGTACTTCCTATGTGTACTTTCTATCAATGGGTGTGTAACTAACATCTGGTTGTTTTAGTTATGATAAAGTTGGATCAGTGGATTCAGGTGTTGTCAGATTACCCTCTCTCTGTAAACAGTATCTAGTAGGGACTTGTTTTTGTAAAATCTCATCTGACAATATCTTTTAATTGGGAGTTTAGTCTATTTATATGTAATGTAACTATATTGTTTAGTTTAAGTCTACCATCTTGTTTTTTGATTAGCTGTTTTTTTCCTCCTTCCTTCCTATCTTAGATTGAATAATTTTTTATAATTTAAGTTTATTTATTTATTTTGAAAGAGAGAGAGCATGGGAGGGGCAGAGAGAGGGAGAGAAAGAGAATCCTGAGCAGTCTCTGCACCGTCAACATGGAGTCCGATGCAGGGCTCGAATGCACGAACCGTAAAATCATGACCTGAGCCAAAACTAAGAGTTGGATGCTTAACCGACTGAGCCACCCAGGTGCCCTGGATTGAATTAATTTTTGATTATTCCATTTTATCTCTTCTGTTGGCTTTTTAGCTCTACTTATTATTTTAGTATTTGCTCTAGAGATTGTAATGTGCGTTTGAACTTCATCAATATACTTTGAATTACTATTTTGCTATGTCACGAATAACAAAAGAGCCATATAACGAGATATTTCTATTTAAAATCCTGTCATTTGTGCTATCGTTTTCATACTATTTACTTTCTTTTAAGCATCACAGCCTTGTACTGTCTGTTGTCCAGTGTCTCAACTTCGTATATTTTTTTAGTTTTGTCATTATTGATGGCAGGAGGTAACTTCAATGCCTTTAATTCTGCCACGGCCAGAACTGGTAGTCCCGGTTAATGTTTTGCAATCCATGGCAGTTGTTATTCTTTTTTTTCTTTTTTCTTTTTTGAAGTATAGTTGACCTACAATAACAGTTGTTATTCTTTTTGATGCTCAAAATGTCGCCTTTTAGCCAGTAGGCCAAAATGCCGTTCTATGTGCATTTTTTGCTTGTTTTTATGTGATCTAGTAGGAGAGTTTGTGATGTCTTAGGCTTACTTTTACATTTCCTGCCCCACACTAAAATCAGTAACTGCTATTGATTTATTGAATGCCTCCTGTGTGCTGGGTACATTGGATATATTAGCTTGAGTTAATTGTCTTAATTCTATGTGGTCAAAAATAGTATCCTGTAATAGAGGAGGAAATGGAAGCTCAGAAAGGTTAGGTAATTTGCCCGAGGTCTGCCAGCCATCATCTGAATACTGTATGGCAGAAGTGTTGACAGACTATGGCCCCCAGAGTCAAATCCTGCTTTTGTAAATAAAGCTTTATTGAAACACAGCCATGCCCACTCTTGTAGCGGCTTTTGCACTTTAGCAGTAGAGTTGAGTAGTTACTGTAGAGACCGTCTGGCCTGAAAAGCCTAAAATATTTACTCTCTGGTCCTTTACAAACAGAAAGTTTGTTAATCCTGCTGTATGAGGTCCACACTCATTCAGGTTTCTTCCTGACAGCTAGCTCTTGTTTCCTGCCCAGTATTTCCTTCCTTAACATATGACTGTATTAAGGAGACAATTTTTCCTTGTGATCATACTGTTATAAACCCTCAAGGTGAATGTACTTCCTAGTAAAATTAGTTTTGCTCAAAAGAACGAGTGCAGGCATCGGTGCTAGTTAGCCCAAGTTTTTGATTCTGGCTCCACCTCTCTGTAAAATGGGAGTTACGATCCCTTCCTCACTGGATCATTATAAAAATAAAGTGAAATCCTATTAAGCCTAGTAAGTGTTCGGCCTACAAAAGGCCCTTCAGGTGGTAGTTATTGTTATTATTATTATTATCATCATCGTCAATATTTTAAAAGTTTTGCTTCTATTTATAATTTGTTCAGGGGAGTTCAGACAATGCCTGGCACAGATACTGCAATGTACAGAGGGATGCAGTCTGTAGAGGGCCTGGGGACGAGACAGAGCAGATTGGGAGATACAGAGTGAAACAGTCTTGCCCTATAGAGGTTTTATATTGTGAGATATAGGAGACAAAATTGGAATATTAGGTTAATACTAAATTTTGGTGGATTTGAATGCAGGAAGAGCAGTTTCTACTGGTCATTTTCAAGCTTGTATGGAACTGTAGGATTCAGTCCAGGGAGATCATGGAAGAATGAGCCACTTCCACGTTAGCTAGAGCAGTGGCTTTTTATCTGTCTCATGATTTGGGGTTCCACATGGATTTAGGTTGAACACATACTCCTAAAGGTGTTCTCTGGTGATGTCCAGAGTTTGAGGGGACGTTGGTCAGGGCTGAAGATGCAGACTGAAGCCATCTGGATGGCTGCAGTGCAGTGTGATATGGGGTAATTGCATAATTGGGCCAGCTATGGCTTTGTGTTTATAACACAGACTCTAAAGTCAGACTGCTTGGCTTCAAGTTCTTGACTTCAGAACTACATAGCTGAGTTAACTGTGCAGCTTACCGAACCTTTCAGAATCTGTTTTCTCATCTGTAAGATGGAGATAATAATAGTCCACTCACCACTCATAGTCTGTTAGCATAGTTAACATGGTGATGGCATGGAGTATGTACTAAGTATTAGCTCTCAGCTCTATTATGTAGTAGTAGTGGGTGATGGACATCGATTGACATTTTTCTCGACTGTCATCCCCATTGCTTGATGGCTAATAAACAGAGGGTGTTCGACACATGGTTGTTGAATGAATTGTAAACGTTGGCTTATTAGAAATGGAAGCTCTCAAATATGCCTGTTAACCAGAAAGTAAATGGGTTAATCACACTTTTTTCTTCAAGTCGCTTGTGGAATGTGCTGCGGTGATTGTGTGATGTGCACATCGTAAGCAATGGAAGGGAGTTGTATGGAAGGTTCAAGCTAGCAAATTGCCCTATTAGATGTGCGCACTAAATAAATCCACTGAGGACAGTCTCCCTTACTGCCACTTCCATGTGGTGATGTGCATCCTGCTCCATTGTTGTTGCTTTCAGCTGAGCAGAGAGAATGCCCTCAGCCCTGCTAGATGCACTGAACTGGCTGCTCTCACAGGTAGATCCTTAGGGGAGATTTTGGTTATTTTGTCATAAAAGATTTTCCCAGCAAAACTGAGAGGAATGGGGTTTAATAAGAATATGAGTAGAAGGCAGTTGTAGGAACAACAGAATGTGGAATGAGAGTTAGTTTTAGGTGTTAGGAAGAGTGAACAATTTCATTTTAATAATCAGGTTCTATATATGTATAATTAAAAGCCATACGCACATGAGGGTCACCTGGGAGGCTCAATTCGTTGAGTGTCTGACTTTGGCTCAGGTCATGATCTCATGGTTCGTGAGTTCAAGCCCTGCATCGGGCTCTCTGCTATGTGCACAGAGCCTACTTCAGATCCTCTGTTCCCCCCCTCTCTGCCCTTCACCTGCTTGTTCTCTCTCCCTCAAAATAAATAAACTTAAATAAAAATAATAAGCACATGAGAATGGTGGTTTTATAGATGTTACTGCTTAGCCTTCTTTAAGATTTAAGAA